GATAGACTTACCTCCATTTGGTGCACCCTGGGCAACGTATATTCATTCGGCAAAAAAGTCTATTGACTGGCAGTTGACTTGTCACTTCAAACTACCATCACCTCACTCTATGCCATATTTGAATATTTCACAGTACTCACCTCACCTTTGTTCTACCTTTGTGTTTGTCTCTTACATCTTTGAAACACTCTTCTGTTCCCCCACCCCCCTATCGACTTTTTCAATTTGATGTTTCTTCCTCTCTGTGAAGCCTGAAGTCAACTAAAGGGCTAATGATAATCATCAAGACGCCTGCCATTTGATATAAATAAATATTTCCTTTACTTGTGCTTGTATACTGATCCATATTTATCTTCAGCACTGCATTAAAAGAACTGTTTTACTGGAGCTTGTTCTTTTTCGTTACCATTACATTATTTCGAACTGATCATTTTAAATTAGCCTTTTGTTAACATTTACATTTTGACTAATTGCTTAGTCTCCAAACTCATGCTGATAAAGTCCTGTTTATATACTCAGGTATTGTGTTATCAGTGGGCGAAATAGTTCCTAAAGCCAGATTCGTTCTCCTTTATCACTTGTACGCTTAACTCAGTTTGCAAATCTAAGAAAACTGTCTTAAGTTTGCAAATCTTGTTTCATTTTGTATTCACGATTCCGCCTCTGACATCAAATAAATTAGAATTCTCTACTATAAATCGCACTAGTTTCCTACGAGCATAAATTCCTCATTCCACCGCTACTGTTATTGCAATCAGTTTGTTATTCTGTAATATACTTATATTTGGCAAGTGGGGCAAGCATCGTCGTCTATTCTTTGCGTCCACAAACCGATATCATATTCCAAAGCTCTTTTAAACTTCTATTTGGGCATCTTCTTCTTCAGGTAATTGTGGTGTCTTTTATATTTCTCTCATGCGATTCGCCGCTTTAGAAATAATTAATTAATATGAAAATGCTCACTTTGCTCAGGATTTTCTAGCCAGTTAATCTTTGTCAATACTTAAATGCAGTGTCTACTCAACCACATTCTCAAAAAGGCATTCTTTTTTTATTTTTTTCTTTTGTGCAGATCATGTCAAATAGAATAGCATGCATCGACATTATCGTTCCTCGCGGTCCCCTGGGCTTCGAATTTTCGATAAAATCCTCCGGTAAGACATCGAGTGTATTTTTTTATTCCTATTGTTGATAGTATAAAGTCATGTAAATAAAATTGATGCATTAAATGTTCGAAACTGAGAATTCATTATATATCAATTTATATTAGAACCACGTGTATCAATGCACCTTATATCATTAATTGGTGGAGTAGAGTGTAACTTGATTTTGTGCTTGGCATTACCTTGGCGTTGGTTTCTTCTCTCTCTCCTCGTTTTGACAATAGGACATTGCCCGATGCGGATTCGATTTGCTTATTAGAAGAATAGAGCTCTAGTTTTAGACCATTGCTTCACACCTTTATTTTACGCTATAATGTTTTATGCCTCAGAAAAGTAAATTGTTATGTCAAATTTGTTTCACAAGACAATGACGGTGCTTATTGTTCAAGAATCGAAAACGATATGTAGCTGTTTTTTTACTTTCATCCCACAAAGTTCGTTATTTGTATTCGCTATCTATGCACTCTTTTGGCTACTATTTCTTGGCATTTCCACACAATTTCTACTTGTATAGCCAACATTCTGCAAGAGTTGGTAACTTTCGTCGCTTTTTCAGCGCTTCGTTAGCTTGATTTTTGTAATTAAGGAGTAATTGTAAAATTAATTTAATTGTAAAACTGTATATTTAATGAAAACCTTTTATAAGGCCTTGTTAGCTAAACTAAGACGCGTATCTTTATGAGTAAAACGTTATTTGTATTTTAGAACGTTTGCTTCAGAAAATGTTCAATCGTGCTCATACCTTATGAACACGATCTAAGTCTCAAGGTGAAATATTTCATTGTAGGTACTTTTCTACTGGTAGTCTCCTTCATCACAAGACGAATTTGGAAGGTTTGATTTATACACATCAGTAGTGTTTGTATTGAGATGAGATATTAAAATTTGGGAAGTTTGATTTCGCTAGGTGGACTTCTTCTCTATATCTCCTCTTGCGAGTTATGCCTCCTTGTCCTTTCAGTCTTTTGATCTTTTTATCTACTTGTTCTAGCATTTGAATTCGGTTGAAGCAAAGTAGCAATAAGTATTGCTTTTTCAAGAATTAATTTTTAACATTCTTATTTTATAAGTCGGTTCAAATGAATATGATTACAAAAGGAAGCCCCACCAGAATTTTCCGATTGTAAAACCATGAGTTGATTTTCTATTGCGCAGTTTTATCACTTTTATCCTTTACCTGATTTCACAAATATGTAGGATGAGTATAAGGCTATAAAAATTACGGAATTGTTAATTTCATTCTTTAAACGTCAAACTTTTTGCATTTCTGTCTCTCTGCATTCGCATTCCGTTTCCATATTGTCTACTTTGTGATTTATACACTATTAGGTAGTATTCACTCATTTAATTATATTTTTAAGTTGGAATATCTGCGAAAGTTCTATATCTATTGTGTAATTTTTGACTAATTCACGTAGGCGATGTTTAAAGCGTATTGACTAAAGCTGGTGATAGGGAGTGGCTATTCATGTCACTTCGATACGTCTTGCCAAATGCTCTTGCACAATTCATGCTATAAATCGTCATCAGTGATAGAACTCACTGATCGTAATGGCCGTTTATCAATCCCCATTGAAACTTAAAGTCGCTTTCCAACTTGCAATGCAATAAAATTTGGTAGGTAAAGAGATGTTCGAAATCAACATTGAATATGCTTTTCATTTGTTTAGTAATGGTACTATTTACTTCAGTATGGTTTTTTAATATTGGCATTGAATATGGATAATGTGATCCAGAAGGTCAAGTCGTTCAGTTATTAAGATTGAAAAATATGATTTCGTATGCAATCTTTGTTTTAATTATCCGTTTAAGATGCGTTCTCAAATTGCTGACTGTTATCGACATCTTTATCTCTTGAATGAATTGCTGTTGTGGAGACTTGTGAGTTCTTACCAAATCAAATGAACTATTGTTGATTGACTTCTTCATAAATGACCATAATATTCATACGTCATCGAATCGTATTTGAATTTTCATTCATCCTCCCTTAGGTTCCCAAATTGTGATTTCACAAGTTCGTTCAGGAGGTGCGGCGGAATTAGCTGGTCTGAAAGTTGGATACATCGTCAAGGCTGTCAACCAACAGTCTATCAAAGACATGTCCTTCCTTCAGGTTTCCAACTTGATTCGACGCTCCAGGTTGGTTCAAGATGCCTTGACTATTGTTTACAATCAACGATCAATAGACTGGCTTTTGAAAGTTCTATTTCCTCCCCATATTGGTATTAAAAAAAGGTGACGATGATCAAAGTTGGCTAGAATCCCTTCAGAATAAGCAAAAGCATCCGGATCCTATGGGAATCCTTCTAAACTTTATGCTTTCGTTGTCTGCCAAATTTTATCAAACTTCAAAGTTTGTAGTTAATTCTAGTTTGATGTACCTCCAATTTAATCATTTTTTACGTAACTTCGACTGTACTTAATCGTATTGGTTGATGGCACTTTCGTTTGCAAGTAAGATGGAGCCGGTATTAGCAAATGAAATTTTACGAGCTCTTGCATAGGCTTCAACAAGGTTGGCGAATAAATTACAATAGGTTCCTGAGTTAGACTAACTATTCTCTGTTTCGCCTCTGTGTTTACTGCCTTCATTTTATTTGGGTTTCTATTTTTTGACTACTCATAACACTGTAGCACGAGTTAGCTATTTCCTATGAAAAATCTCATTAATTTAATTGAACACTTGGATATCTGATATTTTACTAGAACGAATAGAAAGTGTTTTCTATGACCTTATAATCTCTCTTAAGTGGTTCATGGATCATTTTCGAACCTTGCTCCCGAACTCGAGAAGTTCAAACACCATTCTTTTGTTTGTTTTAAACTAATTGGACTTTGCTCCCTTCATTACTACGGCACTTTTGTTACTGCATGTCTTATAATCTAATCGTTCTTCCTTTTTTCTCTTTGTCTTGATTTCAACTTACTAATATCAGTTTCAACAATATTTTATTCCACCAACATGCACTGAATTGGAAGTTAGTAGAATAAAACTGCACTACTTGGTATTTGAAAATGAATATCACCGATAATTGTATTAAAATATATGTGATATATCCATTTTGATTGTGTCGAAATAAGTAGAAGACGAATAATTAGTGTTTTTTAATAGTTCTCTCACAGCGGAATTGACCGTCTGCACGCCAGAAGAAATCCATCCTGCACCGTATGGAAACGTTGTACTTCGGCATACATCTGCAATTAAGAATCCTACTTCCGCCCCATATTCTTCTTCTGATGTGAGTTCTATGCATACCAATTAAATTTATTACAATACTTACCATGGTGTCTCTATTATTGGTCATGCTTGCGCAACCAATAAGAGTGCTTACGTGGGTGGGGTCCAGTCACACGATTCGCATGCAAATGTGTATGTGGCTTTTCTCACACATTAAAATTTTTCAACTGAAGTTGATGTCCTTCACAAGCGGCCGTCTTTTAAGGCGAGTCTGCTTTATTTTTTATGCAATTCATCTTATCATTTTCTCGAGAGTCATAATTTACAATTTATTGAGCTTTACCTTCAATTTTCTATCTATAATTATGGGTGAAACTTGATTTTTCTTCTGTCAAATGCGATGCGTGGTATTTCAGTGTGCTTTAAGAAGCTGGAGATATTCGTAATAAACATGCCAATTGCCATAAAGTGTGATCGACAATCCTTATGGGTATCGATGGTGCAGTGGCACCTTGTATGGTGAACTGTTCGATCGAGGTCATGTGTTTGGGTACTATTTTACTCCTTGTAATGTTTGGATCTAACGCCTTTATTAGATAAGTGAAAATGAGGGCATCTTATTACAGCTTGTAATCATAAAACTACCAATTCTCTCCTACTGAGTACCCTAACTCCTCTACAAAACCCCGTCATTCTACTAAAAATTATTCAAATTTGTGTTTAGCTACTTCTTTTCATTGTACTTTCAATTTGAATTTCGTCTATCTCAATTGCATGGGAAAATTATCTCCAATTATCGAACACTTCTAGTTCGTTTATTCTTTTATCTTTTTCTAACTGAACGCGTCTCTAGCCACCGTAGTTGTATCTGTTAAGTTTTCTCTAAAAAGCTATATTTTAGCTGTATGATGTGACAATTGCAATTGCAGGTGTCGTGGCTGCTTCAACATACAATTTTATTGAATTGTTATCGTGTAATATCATATGTACTCCTTGTCGTTCTGTCGTTGGTTTTGCTTAATAAGGTTAAATGTGAATGCTCTCTTAGCGGGATGTGTGTGTGTGTGTGCACGTGCTTTTTAAGAATTGTGACGTTATTCTTCATTTAAAAATTATGTGATGATACGGCCTAATTTCTACTGCATCTGTATTGAAAGAATTGTCTTTAAGTAAACCACCGATTCAAAGTTAATTAGTCGAAATTCGTCAATACATGTAATAAAACGCTTGGACGTTTGCGTAGATTTTTGCAATCTGTTTAATATGGATTGAAATTGATTCCTTTCACTATAATTTTTGAATAAAAAAGGATACTCAGTGCCTAGAATAGAATCTACAAATTTAAAACGAAATTAAGAATTTACAACAGAAATTTCAGAAGTTAGACTAGCCGAAACTGATACACCCTCAATTTTTCTCATTATTTTAAGGAATGCAACCCATAAAGATCTCGAGAGGAATTCAATGGAAAGATACTCGAAATCGTAATCTAAAAGTGGCATAAAGTGTTAGCACTGGTGAATATGTTTGTCGTTTACTTAAAATGAGGCCATCTTATGCGTTTTACTTCACGCCATTTCTTCATGTTGTAGCAGTCTCTTTTAGTGATGCCTACATTGGTCTGTGAGCTTATATCTGCTATCTATTGTGAACTCATTAAGAAGTAACTTTATTCCAGACTAAGTGCTTGACTGCTGATAATGGTTTGTGCGTTTTTTACCTCTATAACGTAGACAGTTGATGGGATGATGATGATGATGATGATGATCTTTTGGGGATGATATTTTTCCAACACGATTGTTTAGCCATATATTCCTTTTATCCATTGTGTCTTCTATCAAGATTTGAAGTTGCCTCTGGAACTTTCTGTGTTTCTTAATTAAGTCATTACTTGCTTGTTTATATTGGCTCTCATCGTTTCCTACATTGTTTGTGCTACTACACAATCAGGTTGCATTATACGCTATTTGTAATAATTATGCTTCATGAAGCAATTTTTTGACAGTAATAATTACTTTTCTCTCTCTATCAACTTAACTGGCTTATTTCAGTTCTACTCCCTTCTATTAATTGATAATCATCTTCAAATCAGTTTGAATAAACTTCCCGATTATATTGGAATGACTCAACTTTTGGGATCCGAGGTTATTGCAATTGTAGTTCATATCTCTGCATTGTTAAAGAGCTCGGTATCGTAGCAAAGACGTACTCTAATCAAATGCGGTAATCGATTTCTTGATCGATGAATTTATTCGCCATGCATAACAGTAATTAATCAAAAGTGGTTTGAGTGTAACAGTACTTAAACCGGTACAATGTAAAGCAAACAGTTTTTCACATAATTTTAGGGCTTTGAATCATCTTTTTCGTTCTCATACACTGAGTCATTTGGTATTAGTTTTTTATTTCTGATGTGGATCTTTTTTTCCTACCGATATTTTTCTTTTAACCTGTTTATTCAATTGTCAAGTGTCACATGCTAATTTTAACTTCATGGAGAGATTCATGTTTTATTGTCATATTGCGCGATTTTTAATAAGGGTGTACGCCTCTGACCTTTTAAACCGCGCACATATTTCACGTCCGTTTTTATTTGAGAGATAATAACTCGGCAATGCTGTCTAAATTACTTGTTCTAACCTTTGAATGGATTTACTAAGGTATATTCTAATAAAAAAATCAAAGCAAATCAAACATTTAGTCCCCATCTCCCTCTAATAAAGTGTGATGACCTTAAAAGGTGGCTAATCCTTGAGTTGGAGTTTGAGCTTTGCTCTTTTTCGAAGGCATATCTTCCTAATCATTTGCGTATTTGAAGTGCGTCAATCTATCTCTTTTACCATTCGGTTTTTCTTGCTGTCATCTAATCAGACCTCCAAGCTTTTTTCCATAAATCATGTTGAAGTAATCAGTAATGGTAAACGAATTTTCCGCCCTTTCTAATTCAAACGTGTTTCACTAGCATTCTTTTCAGAGAATATGCGCGTATTTGTTCTTTGCTGTCAATACTGTGTCTCGTTTGCTCCTGGGTCTTATTTAAATATAATGTCGAACGAGCTTCAATCTCACTCATCTACTGAGATACATATTTGCAATAAGGAGCCCAATTGTAGTTCGATTTTAATTCGAGTCTTGAACCAACGTGCTTAGACTATAATTGAGCCAAATTTTATAAGAAGCAATAATTCTCTGAGGTCCTCTTGTATGCCTATATGAATTTCAGATCCTCATTTAAATAATTTTGAGTTTTTCCACTATTATCAAAAGAACAGCAGTCAGTTCGTAAACTATCAACTGTCACTCATGGAAATGCAGGTTATTCTGCCTATTGTTAGGTAGGATGGTCATAATTACTTCAGCTAGCTTTCAACGCTGGCAAATCATAGTGCTGATGCATTCTAACAGTCACATTTTGTTCGTTTTATTCTTTTGGGTCCTTTAAATAAAAAGATGGAGAAAAAGAAAAAAGGATTGAAATAAATTATACAGAGGCACATATCGATTTCCCTTTGTACTTGCTACTCTTCTTGGCATTGGTTGGGCCTTCAATCATGAATCTTGTTATTTACTTTTTTCTACGTAAAAAGGTGGGTATTTATTACGCTATCATTTTTGTTTTAGTGGTTCTTTGCGCCCCCCATATAATAACTGCAAGATTCACTCAGAAGTGATTCATTTCTCTCTCATCCAACCGCTAAATATTCCTCATATCATATACTCGAGCCTGTCGCATATTAATACCCGTCACAATTGAAGGCAGCCTATTAATCAGGTGATGTTGGATTGTTAATTAAATTTTGTAGTAATTCCTAATGAATGATTTTATTTAATCGTAATACTAGGCTAGATGAATTAAGTGATTTAAAACACCAATAGGATCAAGCAATCTTCCTTTTGTAGTGGTTTAAATTCATGGTAATCGGGCTGGGGATGTTTACCACAGTATTCAAATAGTTGTTGCTTTGATTCCTCTGATTGAATTAATGTTACTTAAGGATGTTGTTTTAATACCTTTAATGTACTGTAATTTAACATGAAAACGAGTGACTTGCTAGCGGTGAAACTTCTCCACAGTAGTCGAACTTTCACATTTTTCTGATTCTTATATCAAACGTGCGTTTGCGGTTGGAGTTTTTTTACTAGGTGTTTGTTGTATTTCTTATTCCTGTCATATCGTTAAGACGAAGACATTGATTCATCTCTTTCTCTCATCTGAAGGGGGAGGGGCATTTTGGGTGGGATGTCATGATTTGCACACTTTATGAAGAGAGTTTAGCTGGTTTGTGGGCAAGTGATTAATCTACTTAGTCACAGTGACTGTCAGTTGTGTTATATTATCCTAACTAGCAATTGTACGCTTTTATATTGGCCTTCTTTTTAATTCTTATATTTTTTGGGGAGGGGGGGGGGGTTGGTAAATCACCTTGGTTTGTGAATAATTTAATCAGATTCACATATGAAGCCATTCCTCAAATTCATTCAGAGACATCTTCCTCAAGAATCGATAATAATTTTTCCCATTCCATGACCAAGTCGTTATGAATCTAGTAATACAAATGAATAAAAGTACCGCAAATAGTGATCTCAATTAAAGTATTCCATTCGATGATGAGTGGATTCGTTATTGTATTTCCTTCTTTTAGTTAAAGCTGCTATTTAATGAAGTTTTATTGATAAGCCTTTCAGTTCGAGAATCTCAATAAAATACGGTTTGATGTAATTTGTAGTGCGTGCTCAGCTACAACGTAGTTTCAAGGTTGTTTATTTTTTACAAAAGAATAATGTAGCCTGAATGCCACTTTTACGATATCTCATGCTCTTCATTTTGACTTTTTGAACCATTTAACATTAGCTTTTGGTATTATCCTCCTGTCTTCCACCTGTCTTGACGAACATCCAGAGTTTAAATTGTTTTATTGCATCGTAAACTTTTCTTGTATTTAAAAAAATTATGCCTGTTTCCTGCTCCAGCGTGAAAATTTTTCGCCATCACCTCAAGGAATCCGTGCCCAGGCCTTGATGGAACAACTGCAAAAGCCACACCATCGAAAAGAGGAAGGTTTGTTTTACCCCTTCTAATTTTCCAAGCGTGGCACACCAAGCATGCATACTGTCATCGAATTTCCTATTCAATAACCATTTCAGTAGCTATGCTGACACAAGCCCTGTCTCCGTCAGCTGATGTGCCGTCATTTCACTCGTGTCAGCACCCCTTGACAAGCAAAACATCACACGATGACAATGGTGGTGTAATGAATCATTGTGGACTTCGACGGCAGGCTATCCTTTTTCGCAATGACACTATCTATACCGAACCTCCTGACGTCTCTCCTCTAATCTTCTCAATTCCTGATGTATGCTTTCTTCTTGTCTATTGTTAATAGATTTTGATTATGATTACCAACTGCATCACGTAGATGTGCCAGAGTTAGCAATGGTTAACGCTTGAAGGTTATTTTTAACTCACTTTTGTATTAACTCATCTGCTTTGGTTGATGGTTTTGTCCTACAACAACCGTTTTGACAAATTTGTTCACTACCGTAGTTCTTGTGTAGGCTTGCTACTTAATTAATTTCAGTAGAAATATCTGTCATTCTTATTTCAATTACCCGGGACTGCGGTTCTCTTATTGTAGAATTTAAAATGGCAGATTATCTAATTCTATTGCTTACGAAATTTATTCTTTGGAAGTGTTACTAACGACTATCCAATTTTCGAAAATTGGTATTATTTTAGATGGTAGTTGTGATATTTTTTAGGTAATTATTTCAGTCTTTTCAATTGCCTGTTGCTTTCTTAAACGCTCTTCCCCCCACACAAGAATGCTTGAATGAGTGTTGTAGTATCATCTTTTGGTTACAGGGCAATTGTAGGCCGTTGTATTTTTAATGTTAGGCAATCTGTTTCTTGATTTTTTTATTTCGCTTTCTGAATTGTTTCCCCAAGTGCTTAAATTAGGTTCACTCTATATTTTGTAATTCTACTTACATCATTTCGTTTGGTAATGCTAATGTTTCTAGATATTTCTGGGTTTCAATTGGAACATGGTAAGGTAAGCAATAATTTGTTCTTTAGAGTTAGCCATTTCTTATTGGTCATCTTAGAATGGAGTTTGACAACGAAATAATGTTCTTTATACATGTATCAGCATTTACTATTTCGATCTTCATCAATATTTCTCCCCTATACTCGCTTCACTCTTATTAGCACACATTTAGATGCTTGATGCTGTTTTTAGGCATGCATAAAATCTTGCACTCATCATTTTTAAAGTGGTAATTTTACTTAGTGCATTATTGCTTTAACTAGGGTGAGGAGCCAGTTCTTGAGAACTTGACCTCATGAATTGCACTTTCTAAACTCTCTCACATTGTTTGCGCTAATATTATGTTCTTACTAGATCACCTCTTAGTTTTGTTTACTCTTTTTGCAGATTTACCCTAATGCAGGTAGGTCTAATTAACAGTTTTTCTTGTTTCTAGCATAAATCAGTTCACGAAAGCAACGTCGATAATATGGTCTCTCCTTTCTCAACCACTCTCAACATCAGTGAGAATAGGAGCGAAGAGGATGGGAAAGCAGAGATCACGCCTCCTCTTGTTCGACGACATGCCTATCCTTCACTCATATCATCCGCCTTGGCATCAGACTCCGAATCCCCTTCCCCTCTAATCCGCAACACAAGTGTCAAAGCAGGTGGAGAAACTGAGCCAAGTCCGCGTTTTCTTCCAGCACATACCTCTCCAACACTGCGGAGAGAAGAATCACTTCAACCAACCTTCCTTCCCAGATTATCTGTCCGCAGAAAGATTTCCTCACCAGCTTTATCCGCAAGGCCTTCACCTCCTAGTGGGTTACTGGTGGTCTTCCATATGTTTGCTAAGTTTTAATTAGTTTTCTTGGCTTCTTTATCTTAAAACCAAGCATTTTATGAATTATTATTTGTAATTGACTTATATGAAGAAGTGTGCATAGATATTTTTGTTCATTTTGCTAAAATTTCACTTGGTAGCCGTGATTAAAACTGAATTTCCTTTATCTAATTAAATAACTCATAGCATTTATTGTGAGACATTTGACATGTTAAGATTATCAGACATCTCGTAATCTCAATTTCCAGTTGATATGCTTTAGGCCAGTCTACTGATACCGCTAATGATCCAGGATTTTAAAGATCACTTCTGTCAAATCATTGATCCAATATGTCCAATGTTGTAACTACTAGTAAATAGAGAGGTTTACCTTTTAGATGAATCCAAATTCACGAATCTAGCTGCCTACATGGATGGTCTTGTCGTGCCTCCGCCTTATGGTCAAACCAGTGGTATTGTTCAACGCAACCTCTCTGTCTCCAACAGTGTCTTAACTCCGTCCCGTTTTGTCCGACACGATAACGGCCTTTCTACTCTGTAAGTTTTAGCTCCTGAATGTTTTTCCAATGCATTCCTATATGATCGCTTAAAAATGTTTTCTATGTTGTAGAACCAGTGGCACAAATGTCCGGTAAGGTCTTTATCCCGCTATCTTAGTATAGGAAATCTAGGATTTCAAAGTTTGTCATTTTGTATTGCTTAGATAATCACGGAATTGCACAAATTATCTCAGTTAGTCGTGTCAGTATATCGTAAGAGAACCTATAGGTATGGCAAGAAGCATCTCTTACTAATCAACTGTGCATTAAAATCCGAATATTTGCTGGTATGAATTCGGCTAGGAAAATAGGGCCTCAGATCCTAAAGGTCGAATTTTTAAATGTTAGAATACGTTGATAAGATGTATCGGGCAAGTTGAAACCATAAAGTGAATGAAACTCTATCAATATTTTATTTTTCCCATTTTTGCTTGATATTCCACCTTTCAATTTTGTTCGGTTTCTTTCCAACTATTCCTTCGCATTATTTGATTGTTTCGTCAGTCTTAATGCTGCTTAGTTTGAATGTGGAAAATGAGCTCTCTTGTGACCAAACTTAATTGTGTGTGAATATGGTCATTGAAATATTTTTATTACCTATTCGAGGTTGGAAATTCTGTTTTTTTATTAGGTTTGGTTTTCGACCAGTTACTTCGGTGCTGTCTCATGAGAATGTCCAACGTTTTTTACCCTAAGTCATGAACAAGTTATTTGACTGCTCTATTGACCTGACCGTTCTTGTTGCATGCAGAGGGATAAGGTTAGGGAGCCTCGGAATTTGCTAGGGAATGCGATGAGGAGTAAGGAGGGGAGGGTGGGGGGGGGGGGGGGGGGGGGGGGGGGGGGGANGGGGGAGGGGAGTGGCGTACAAACCATGCAGGGGTCCATTTAACGCGTTTTATGGACGCATTGGGATTTCACCTTTATTAGCTCTGCCACGTTACAGACTTTTACATGATTCTCCTCTCCTTCCCTTCCTTTTAAAATGTTGAAATTGATGTGAACGTTTAAGACATGCCTCCATTTCATGGGAAAAAAACTCAGTGAAGATGAAATAGTTTAAACAGATTGAATGCTGTATAAATAATAATAATAATACTAATAAAATTATTCCTGTTTTGCCATTCATTTTTCTAAATTTCATCTGTTTGGTCGTTATTTTGTTTCGAATTCCAGCATTCGCCATCTTTTAGCCCATATCCGATAGGCTTAATTTGAATAGTCTAATAATGATCGAAATGAGCACATTCTCCTCTCTTGTGCTAATGACGTCCCTATCGCCTATATTGAATTGGCTACTTGGCTCATAACTACCTGTGCTGTTATTTTTACAAAGACGACTTCCATTGGCTCAGTGCTCCAACCAATCTTGGCTTGTATACGATTAAAACCAATCGGAAATTTGACATCCAACGTTCTTACTCTGCTGTTATTGTATTCCAGTTGATAGTGCATGACAATTATTCTCTTTTCCTCAAAATGTCCCACTTCATTTATATTTAAGCTTCGAGGTAAATATTAAATGAAATTGATCTCAAAGTTATAATTTCATACAGTATATAAACTGAGTTTCTGGGAAATCAAAGTGCTACTAATTACACTTATTTCATTTTCTTAGAGTCAAATGCTTTAGTATGATTTGCTTAATTTTTTCTTAGCTTTCACATATCTTATCATTGAGTTTTCAACTTGTGTTCTTTGTTTGAGTTGGTTGTTGATTACCTATATAGTATTATGATTGGTAGGCATTAGCTTATTAGCCAACATGAATTGTGTCCCCATGGGACATATTACTTTCCCTTTATTTGATTGGTCAAATTTATTCAGTTCTAATTTTGATTGGATTGCCCAGTGTGCCTTATTTAATTGGTCAAAGTAAAAAATTGCTATTGATTCTCATTAACTCGGAGTGTCGTTCACAGTTTGAATATGCCATCTCTCATATCGAATAGAAGTCGAGTTGCTTCTAGTTCATTATCTCACAATATTTCTTCTCTTTCGCCTAAAAACCCCACTTTAAAAAATGAAAATACCAACTCCAATGTCAAACCACCTCATCCAAAACGCAAACGACTAACGTTAATGACTGGTCTCTTTCGCATCGACTCACTTTCTTGTGATGGACCACACTGGCCTTCCTCGTGGCGCCGTCGACGTTGGTCCCTTAGACCCCAGGAAGAAACTCCAAGTATCAAGACCACTGTTCCCTCAATTCCAATTGCCGAATCCAACCTAGGATTCAGACCTACTGCGGTAGGTATATCTTTTGCCTTTATTAATTATCGTTTGTAATGATGTCAATAGTACTGCAATAATAACTTTTGTTAACACTTGCTAGTTTTATTGTAAATTTAATCTTACTCATTTTAAAGGTTCATGGGTTTTTGTTGTTTGAGAGAGTTTATATTTTTTATAGTCAATTTGGTAACATTTTGTCATTTACTCTACAGCTTCTGGTCTTGGTATAGTATCTCCAAGGCCGTTATGGCTTGAGTAATTGGGAGTGTGCATTCAGTTATGGCTTAGTTTCAAGGTGTCTCTATGGAGGCAAAATATTTATTTATTTATATCAGATGGCAGGCGTTTTGATAGTTATCATTAGCCCTTTAGTCGGCTTCAGGCTTCACAGGGGGGAAGGAACATCAAAGTGAAAAAAAGTCGAGGGGGGGGGGGAGAAAGAAGAGTGTTTCAACGATGTAAAAGTGACAGGCACAAAGGTAGAAAAAAGGTGAGGTGAGTACTGTGAAAGTAGTTAAGTATGACATACAGTGGGGTGATGGTAGTTTGAAGTCAGAAGTCAACTGCCAGTTAATAGCCATTTTTGCCGTATGTGTATACATTGCCCGTAGTGCACCACGTGGATGTAAGTTTATCGCACACCCTTAGAGGCAAATGATAATGATTATCAGTAACGAGTTTCATGGAAGTCTACATTTTCGAAATCCTGGATTTTACAAGTCTGAGCTTCTAGTACAAATAGCTAGCAAAAACTACTGCTTTTGTTAATAGTCGTCTTAGGTATTAGTTCATCTTCTTAATTTTAGATAATAAGAATTTAGAATCCATTTCATTATAGATTTTTTAAGTAGAACTTGGTTAGGTTGCAGGTGAATCGAATAATTATTTTTTAATAATTTTTGAGGTCGCTAATTTATTCACAATGCTGAGTGATCTGTCGTTAATGCTCTGGAAGCACGTTTATTCCTAATTTTGACCTTGACAGGATTGATCTGTTGAAGACCCGCCCTTACAGTAATCGCTACATTAATTTACCGAAAGGTTTCATGTTAATTAAGCCTTATATCCTAAGTTCTACATCAAGTTAGTTGACAGCTAAATCCTCACTTATTCTCATTTCAAGTTCATGGACGACTGCTTGATGCGTGTTTCGCATCGGCCTTGTGTTCAACTTCGCAGTTTGAGTTATGGTTCCATCGTAAGTTTTGTGCGACCTCACCATGTCTACTCACTCACGCACTGTTCTTCCTTTTATTGGACTTACTAATAATCAAGCATCTTTTTCGCACAAAAATTCCAACTTTAATACGAATTTCATGCTTTTTCAGCCCTCTGATCTTCAGCCTGAATTTTACAAGTCATCGCAGTGTCTCTGTAAAGTTACGAAAATAGAAGGAAAGAACGTAGTGCCAGTCGCTTGGAGGCGGTTCTATATTTACATCGGAGGAGGTTATATTCGTTTTCTCTTGGCCTCCGACTATCACGGTTTCAATCAACATGCAGTAGGTTCCTCAGTCTACTCATTGATGGCCTTTGTCTTTTTCATTAGATCCATTACATCGACATTATACCATGAATTGGCAAACGATGGGCTTCTTAAAGTAATAAGCATCATTTGTGCTCTAAGTCTATTTCTAGTCTAATATTGTGGTATTTGAGCTAATTACGTTTGATGTGCATTTTGTCAATTGCAATTTAGTAAACAATATCAAATATTTACGCTTAATATCCCTTTTGGCACATATTTCTGAGCAGACAAATGGGATAAATTTGTCAATTATACGAAAGACACTGTTTTTATAACAAGTTTGCCATGTTACGAGACTGAGGTATAGGTATCACACAGCCAATTTATTCTTTATTGTATTATTAATTTTGCACACGGTGAAGGAACAACTCAATTGATAGTCATGGGAGAAAATGTAAGCACGTTGCACTTAATAGGTAATGCAGTTATGCGCGAAAGGTTCAAAGTGGTCACCATGGACTTAGGGTTTGCTTGGACTTAAATTATTTATAATTATTTCTCCTTGTAGTCAGGCTCTCTACTGAACAATGTGGATCCATTCACATTGGAAGGAGTGTCAACAAGTAGGTGTATCATCCTTCCGTTAATGGGCCTACAGTGGTCTAGCCATCCGTGCCTTGCTTCTGATATTCCAACTTGGGATACTCTATCCCCTGCTTCCCCAGCCAAAACCTTGTCCTTCAGACGACATAATCATCCTTCCCAATACTCTGAAATGGTTGAATCAGAACCCATTAATGATCTTCATTGTTATCTCTTTGAACACGAAAGCAATGGTTGTTCAGAGATTACTGTCATTTTCCCAGAAACGCAAACCCTCAGTAAAACTCTTGAGCTGTGCCAACGTCACGGTGGTTTCTGTAAAGAAGGCAACCCACCACCACATACTTGTACTGTTATCACTAATTCCTTACTCGAAACGAAACAGCCCAGTCATCATGCGACTGCTGTTCTTCGTCGAAGTAGAAAAAGTCTTCCTGACTCGGCTGTTCGGCGTAGGCTTGTTGCTGATGGGGTGACTGGCACTAAACGCACTCAGGACAAATCTTTGGGTATTTTTTGTCACTAATCTCTCTTTCAGCGGCTGGAAATGAGGTTCTTTTGTTCGCTTTCGCTTGAATTATAGATCGGGAGGGTGAACAGCCACAACCATTTGCTTACCAACGCTCGGCTGGAGTGGAAGATACTTCAAAATTTCGATTCTTTGCAACCACCGCTGCACCATTTTTCAAGAGCATTGCGAACGCTATTTCCGGTGTACGGGCTACAGACCTTAACGCAGCGTCTAATAATGTCACCTCCGCTTTGCAATTAAGTGAAAAAGAATTTGCTCGAAGAGTGACAGCTGCACTCAGTGAACCACCAGATTTTGGGGACCTTAATCAACCTGGTCCCGTCTTTGGTGCTCCGTTGGAGAAACAAGTCCCTAGTCCAGACTATCCAGTATGTTCTACTCTTAAAGTCCATTTGGATCTTGTTGCTTTATGATCTCTATGATTTTATTTGTGGGGATGGTAACACAAAGGTGTGTTTTACACAATTGTCCTGATCCATAATTGCGACATAATTTCTCACTCACTCTCTTCTGCGTGGGAGTGTGGTTGCTATCTCTACCTTTAGAACCTGCATGTCATGATTCATTTCTTTTGATTGTTTTTATCCTGTGCAATTTGTTATATTGTTTCATTATTTTTTTTGTTTGCCAATTATGCTTTTTACATCTCATTAATTAATCTTATAAAAAATACTGTTAGTTTTATTTTATGAGTTATTTGATCCGAGTTTATATAGTACCACCTTGTTTTTCAGCTAGTGTCTTATTTATCGATCGTTATTTACACTTAAGTTCTTACCTTTTTTTATTTTTGATCTGGTATCTAGCCTCTCTTCCTAATCCCATTGAACAATGCAGTTTTCAGTATTTATTTGATAAAACTGTTAAAATCTCGGACCCTTTGGCTTTCCTATTTTTTAGTACTAATTATTATCATTTCCATGATTTCTTAAACGAAACTTATGCATTACCGCTTCACTAGTGATCCGTACTTCCAGAACTGTCGTTCCTATCTTTTCTCTCGATTTATAAAATATGTGTCTTCTTCATAATCTACTACTTGATAGACAGGTGCCAACTTAACTGTTCGCATGAAAAAGAGGCCATGGATTTGTTTCGCTGCGTCTTGGATTCCTCAGACATCAAAGAATCGGGGATGAATCTGATTACTTGTCCACTTATCTATATATAAGAAGTCGTATCCTTCCTTTTTTGTTGCTATAAATTTACATTTCTTATTACAGAATGTTCCACTGATTATCCATGCTACTATTTCCGCCTTGGAGCTACATGGTCTCCATCACGTAGGGCTTTATCGAGCACCTGGACGTCAAAAAGAAATAAATCGATTCGTTTGCTTAGCGAATTTGGTAAGTAACAGCAGCTCTAGTCCTGCTCTTCAATTTATTGCTAACTCTCTTATCGTCGGGTTTTATTCTATTCATTCCAGACGTCACTTGATCCTCATGTAATGCTTTCCTTGCCAACCTGGAATGATGTTCGAGTGTTGACCGGTGTAATTAAGGTTTTCTTTCGGCGTTTGCCGAAACCCATTTGCGACCCCGATTCATGGAAGTCGCTCGTCTGTTTAATTCCGGAGGATTCTGATGAATTGGATGAATCCTCACTTGTCTATACACTACAGGCAATTCGTGCAAAATTAAACAAGGTGCGCCCCCCTCCCCCTCCTACCCCATCAACAACAATTCATTCTTTGACATTATACCACAATATTTTCTCAATCTCTTCTAGATTCGATCGACATCTTACTTGCCGCTGAATGTTTCTCCAACTGAACAAGTAACTTCAATGATGTCCTGGAGATGGCGTTATGCGACTCTGGACTTCCTCTTCACTCATCTCCGACGCATTATTGCCCTTCAGGTCGTCAACCAATGCTCCTTCAAATGCATCGCCATCTGTTTTGGACCGTCGCTATTCAATGCTGACAGTGACTTGCAAAATAAGTTCAACGTGGTATGCACATTCCTCAGCTTTATCTTTGATGAATGTAGTCATTTGTATCGCTCCCCACTATATTGATTTTAGACAAACTTTTCCCCTTATATTTAGTAAAATAGTTATTTACATTTTTTCTTGAAAATGGGCTCTTTATTTGTGTTAGATCCTGAATTTCATGGTCGACTTATGGCAAACGTTATTCTAATCGCTTTTGTATGGACTTTTGTTTTTTTGTGGCTTTCTAAACACAAGGTTTTAATAGTTTTTATTTTTAAATATTCTTTTCCTCAGCAACTTAGTACAATCATCTTGGATCTATATTTGAGCCAACTAAATATGGCCTCTCCTGCGCACACAGAAACTGATCGGAATCATTCGAAGGAGATGACGGGNTTCCATGGTCTTCTTTAATACAACGCTAATGCTGAATCCATCTGCCTCATTGTGTAGTGAATTACTGGACACTTAATTTATTATTTATTTTGAAAGTTCATTTAATTTGCGTTACCTTGAGTGAACCAAACTTAGCAATCGCGCCTTATTGCGCTATGGTGATACCTTGATTTGAGGAATATTTTATGAGATCCTCAATCATTTGAAATGAATAATTTGTACAAAAATTGAAGTTAAGTAAGACTCTTTACCACCCATTTGCCGATGTCATATGCGTTTTTCTATTAGAGGATGTTTAGTTATTCACTTTTCTCAAATGGCAGGTGTTTTGTTAGTTATCATTAGCCCTTTAGCTGACTTCGGGCTTCACAAAGAGGAGGAGGAGGAACATCAAAGAGAAAAAAGTCTTCGGGGGAGGGGGGACGGAGCAATGATTCTCAGAGGTTAGAGAGAGAGAGGGACGCAAAGGCAGAGAAGATGTACGATGAGTACTGTGGAAATAGTGAATATGACTTAGAGTGGGGTCATGGTAGTTTGAAGTGAGAAGTCAACTGCCGATTATTAGACTTTTTGCCGTATGAGTATACATTGCCCAGGGTGTACCACGTGGAGGTAAGTCTATCGCGCACCCCTATTAAAGGATGTAATTTGTTACGTTTAATGGGTAATACAAGCTATTAAAAAGCCGAAATACGAAGGATCACTCAAATCCATTACTATTTAATAAAAGACGTTTCAATGCGTCTTTCTTTCAATTAGATCCCAAACAATAAAACAATTAATTAAGTTGCTTTTATCAATTGGATTGCAGTCCAGTATTTATGAAAGTAGTTAAAACGTAGTTGCCGCAAAAATGGTGTCACAACTTTTAAACATTTGTTACCAGATGAAAGAAACCTGTTATAGAATTTTGTGTCCACATTATTGGGTTTGATGATTTCCAATCTCTGGCTCAAGTAAGTTCATCAGGAAGGTGACTCATTTTTCACGAGCAATTTCTTTAAACTCTCCATTTAGACCAATTCGATCGTTTTCATTTGCTGATCTGGGTTCTTCACCTCTATGATTTTACCGAATTATTTAACATCAGGAACAGATAGTTCAAAGCTAAAGGGATATTTTTTAAGGCAGTGAATATCTGAGACAACAGTGACTCCCACTTAGGTAGACTTACCTCCACGTGGTGCACCCTGGGCAACGTGTACTCATACGGTAAAAAAATCTATTAACTGGCAGTTGACCTCTGACTTCAAACTGCCATCACCCCCACTGTGCCATATTTGACTACTTCTACAGTACTCACCTTACCTTTTTTCTACCTTTTTGTCTGTCTGACGCTTTCACATCTGTTAATCAATATTCTGTCCCTTCTCTCGACTTTTTGTCACTGATGTTCTTCCTCCCCTCTGTGAAGCCCGAAGTCAGCTAAAGAGCTGATGATAACTTTCAAAATGCCTGCCTTTTGAGATAAATAAATATAGTGACTCCAGTTGAAAAGACTCTTGAATTTGGTGACTTTCATTTATCATCATTGGGACTCCATATCGGCATCAAAAATGTCATGACTATTTCTATTGGTTTACGGTGTTTTCAATTGAAGCGATTTGGAGGTAGGGCACACTGTTCTCCACCCTGATTATGGATTCTCGAAAGCATGTCCTTGTCTATACATCCTTTTAATGTATTTTATATGCAGTGGCCTCGCAAGATATGACAACGATAACATAGTGAGTCTTCATAATTAAAACTAGCTCGCTTCATAACAGATGCCCACTTATTATGTTTCCTCTTTACTAGTGCCAGTCAAAGAAGAATAAACCGATAATTGTTGCCATTTCTATAACTTTGTTTGGGTCATACCTGCGTACATTAAACAATATAATGACATCATCAGTAGGCATATGGAATTGACTGTTAATTAGGGCATAAAATCATATTCAATTCGAGGAAAATCAAAAATAATTGAACACTTATTTACTTTTAATAGCAGTTGCAAGCTTTTGTAGTGTAGATACTAACAATTCCCGATGTGTTTAATGTTAGTACTCCATTAGTGGCTTGTCGTGCACTAAAGCATGTCATTCAATAGTAAAAGCTTTTACTCGAGAACAGCAATGTAGCAAGGTAAAATAAATGTCATAGTGATAATAATGGAGGGAAATACATTGATGCATTAAATTCAAATTACACTCATTGATTGTCACTACGATTTAAAACGGAATTATCAACGAATATAATGATCTAAAATACGCAAAGTCACTTATACTCTGGCACTGACCTTGAATGGCCAGAGCTATTGATTGGTTTAGATTGATTATCGACCACTGAAGGAAACATCTATGATAATTTTGTTCAATAGAGTTCTTATATCGCACTACCCAATACTTTCCATCTCAGCATCGGAGACTCTTTGAAGCATTTTAAACCAAACCACAAAATTGTTTTACTGCAATGCCAAAAGGGCCCAGTTGGAATAAGGTGACTTGATGCGTTTTTAATATTCGTTTTTTATTCATTAGTATTATTGTGTTCAATCAGCTAATGAATGGTATGTGTAGCGGATCGCTACCTTAGTAAAGCCTGACTGACTCAGAAATCTCTGTGGCAGACTCCCCAACATCTAGCTAGACTCCCAGAACCAGCTAAGCTATAGCCCAGCTATGAAGGAAACAGACACGTCGCGTGGAGAACGTTTATTCAGTACGGATATTGCGGATAAAGTGTACACGCAGGGAGCTTAATCATGATCAGGATGGCAGATTAGGTTAAACAAACAGAGGTTAATGATTGGTCACTGTTTGTACGGTCGCACCTCCCAATCCTGGCGTGCGGACATGCGATGACGTGTCCCACATATGTTATTTATCTACTTATTTATATCAAATGGCAGGCATTTTGATAGTTATCATTAGCCCTTTAGTTGACTTCAGGCTTCACAGAGGGAGAGGAACATCAAATCGAAAAAAGTCTTGGGGGGGGNGGGGGGGAGTAGGGGGTACTATGTACTGAGTTTAGATGCATTTAGTTACAGAACTACTTGTTGGTATATTGGAGAGAAGACCGGTACCCAAAGATTTTTAGATAACTACTTCATTTATTTGCCCTTTTAGTTACTTGAAGTGATGCTTCAACACTGGTCCTGGCTCACAGCCGATGAAGCTAAAGTGTTGAAGGATGACTCTAATGCTAAATCTGCTCCACGAAGTACGACTATATCAGAGACTGAGGCCTACGTGAAGCAGTTCCTTGAAAGTGGGCCCAGTGTCCACAACTTCTCTTCTTCCAGTGTGGTGTCACAACAGGACTCCTTGAAAATTATAGATGATCTGAAAAATTTGTTTGAAAGAGCTGGTTATCAGGTTTCCGCTCGAAATTCGCTGGAGAATGCAGATAGTGAAAAACAAGAAGAGGAGCAGGGAGAGGAAAGCTTGCTTGAAATAATAATGAGGTCCCTTCCACAACAAGTAAGTGAACTCGGTGAAAAGGAGAAAGGAAGCACCAATATCCAGGCATCATCCCCTATTACTCAGTGGACGGACTTTTAGACGAATGTGTGTGTAGCTTGCCTATTTTTTTATTTCGTTCCCTTCTCCAACAAAATTTTTGGAGGATGCTCAAGCTCTCTATTTGTACTCCTCGTGCTATTTGATGCTACTGACGATGCTCATTGTATATTGATCGTCTGTACAATTTGTCTATAAACTCCGTTTAGTTGAAATATTTATATTTATTTCAAATGTCAGGCTTTTTGATAGTTATCATTAGCCCCTTACCTGACTTCAGGATTCACAGATGGGAAGGAACATCAAAGTGAGAAAAATTGGGGATGGGGAGACAGAAAAGTGATTCACAGGTGTGAAAGAGACAGACACAAAGGCAGAGGAAAGGTAAGATCAGTACCGTGGAATTGGGGTGATGGTAGTTTGAAGTTAGAAGTCAATTGCCGGTTTATAGACTTTTTTGGCTTATGAGGATACATTGGCTAGGGTGCACCACGTGGTGTTAAGTCTATCGTACACCCCTAGTTGAAATTTTGAGTTTCATTAATTATATTTGGCGTTAGGTGCCTATTATATGCTGTACGTTTATTAACACTGAATAACTTAAAGAGGATGTCTCTACATATAATTAGCTGGGATGCCCATAACATTAAGGTGCTATTTATAAAGCTTAGAATTGCTGAGATTCCGTGGTATGCGGCTAAATTATGTATGTATATCAAATGGCAGGCTTTATGATAGTTATCATTTGCCCTTTAGTTGACTTCAGGCTTCACAAAGGGAGAGGAACATCAAATCGAAAAAAGTCGAGATGGGGGGGGGGAAAGATGAAAAAGAGACAGACACAAAAGTAGATGAAATTTGAGGTGAGCACTGTGGAAGTAGTCGAATATGACGTAGAGTGGGGTCATGATAGCTTGAACTCAGAAGTCAACTGCCGGTTAATAGACATTTTTTGCCGTATGAGTATACGTTGCCCAGAGTGCACCACGTGGAGGTAAGTCTATCGCGAACCCCATGCGGCTAAATTATCGGCTTCCGAAGTCCCTACAATTGTTAGTCTGTGGGAGACTGAAAACCTTTTAATTGTAGATATCTTCTGAGGTTGTTGTAGTAGTTTCAAGGGATAGACAATAGCACGCGTGTATGACATTCTGTGTCCTTTATTCAAGACCGAGTACCGAAAGCCCACTTAATCAAAAGATGCCAATTCGCATGCCCATTAATTTTTACGAATTTAATTTGATATCCC